AAACCCTAAACCCTAAACCCTAAACCCTAATTTTCAGGCGCTATATTGTATAATATGATCTTAATTTTTTATTTTTTGTTTATTTTCTTCCTTTAATTTAAACCCTCACCAAAAGCTGCGCCGGAGGAAATGGGAAGTGACCCTGGGGCTGCTGCAGCTCCTTCGTCTTGCGTCTTCTTTCGTTTTAATTTCTTCTCAATTTGAATTTAATTTAATTTAAAATCATTTAATTTAACATTTTAATTGCTTTTAATCACTTCAATTATTTTTAATTGTCTTAAATTGCTTTAAATTGCTCCGAAATGTTCTGAATTCACCGAAAGCCTCAGCAGCAGCAGCAGCAGCAGCAGCAGCAAGGTTGCAGCTGGACGCCCCAGCGCTTTCTTTGCCGCAATTTCGCGGCTTTTCATTTTATTAAAGTTTGCCATTTAATTAAATTTAATTAATTTTTTATTTATCAAAGTTTGCCATTTTAAATTGACTTTAAAACGAAATAAATGAAATTCAAATAAAGAAATAAAATTGAGTTTAGGCGCTTAAGTTCAGCCCCCAGCTGCTGCAGCAGTCTCGGCTTTTTATTTGCTGCTGTCGCAGCAAAGGGCTTCTTCTGCAGACCCTAAACCCTAAACCCTAAACCCTAAACCCTGAACAGCGCACAGGCAAGCTGCCGCGGCGCCCGGCGCCCGGAACGCCCCCGAAAGCGCCCCGAGCTGCGCCCCACCCCCGCAGCAGCGCCCGCTGCTATTCCTGCTGCTGCTGCTGCTGCTGCTGCTGCTGCTGCGCCTCAGCCTCGCACCTGGGGCAGCAGCAAACGAAGCCGTAGCTGCTGAGGAGGGCCTGGCGCTGCTGCCGCGGCAAAGCCAGAGGCACATAAGAGACAGTTAATTCACTTCCAGCAGCAACAGGTTTTGCTGCTGCGAGGGAAATGGCAGCAGCAGCAGCATTTTCCGTGCTGCAGTTGGGGCTGCAGCTGTGGTTGCAGCAGGACTGCAGCACGAAAACCCCTGCAGCACGCAGCAGCAGCAAACTGCCGCAGTCCGAGGCCCCCCAAATCAGCAGCAGCTGCGCATTTCTCATGAGGGCCCCAAAAAGGTGGGCCACTGCTGCTTCTCCGAGAACTGCTGCTGCTGCTGCTGCTCCTGCTGCAGCAGCAACGGCCTCGCCCATCACCTGCTGCAGCACTGCAGCAGCCCCCGCCACGTCAAACGCTGCTGCTGCTTCTGCTGCAGCAGCAGCAGCAAGCCGCAAAAACGGCCTACAAGCCTCAGCATAAGCTGCTTCCGGGGCCCATCCCGTGCTGCGCAAAGTTGCTGCTGCTGCTGCAATGCGGGCCACCACTCGCCCGAGGGCCTCCAGGCCTATCGGGTTCTCGTTCTCTGCTGCTGCTGCTGCTGCTGCTGCTGCTGCTGCTGCTGCTGCTGGCGCTGCCTCCAGCGGGGGACGCAGCTGCTGGTCCAGGCCCCGCAGCGTGCGCAGAGCAGCGGGGGACAGAATTTCCTGCCAGCCAAACGCCCACGGCCCTCTGCTGCTGCTGCTGCTGCTGCTGCTGCTGCTGCTGCTGCTGCTGCTAGGGGAAGGGGCCTTGAGGCAGCCTTGGGGGTCCCGCTTGCGGAGCGCCGACTCCGGCGAGTCTTCTGCGGGCGCCCCCTCCTTCTCTGCTGCTGCTGCTGCTGCGTCTGCTGCTGTTGCTGCTGCTGCTTCTGCTGCTGCTGCTGCCCGCAGCGGCTGCCCCCAGGCCTGCTGGTGGCAGCGGGGGCTGCAGAACCAAAGCAGATTGCCTTCAGCATCGTGCATGCAAATGGGCTGCTGCTCTTCATCTAGAGTGTCTTCTGCTGCTCCATTTGCTGCTTCTCCCGCTGCACTTTGCTGCTTCGCTGCTGCTGCTGCTGCAGCCCCCGCGCACTCCTGCTGCTGCTGCTGCTGCTGTTGCTTCTTGGGCTGCGTGGGGTCTGGCCCGGGGCCCTCGTAGGGCTTTATCTTGAGGCAGTTCTCGCAGAGGGTGAAGCTGGAGAAAGCAGCAGAAGCGGCAACGGGCCAGGCCACCAGGGGGGCCTCGATTAAGAAAACTTCGCCGGGTTTCAAGTCTTTTTTGGCTCTAAGTTCCTTTCCGTGGGGCCCAAAACCCACAGAAATGTTTAAATGCGAGCAAAGGGCTGCGTAGTCTTCGGCCCACTCGAAAGTGTCCATTTTCAGGTGTACAGACACCCCGAAGCGCGAAGGAACCGCCGCAAACGCCGAGCGCGAACCAAGGCCGATCCGGCCTCAAAATCCGACTCTGGAGGATTTCTTAAAAGATATTTAAGTTTAATCTATTAAATATGTTTCATTTGAATCAAAATAAACGCAAAAACGCGGAGAAACGAGCCCAATCGACGCGGGCTGTAGCTCCACTCCGTCTGCGCTGCTGCACGATCGGAGCTGGGCTTGCGTTGTTAGGGGCCCAGGAGAGTCTTCTAATTAAAATTGAATTAAATTAAAATTAAAATTAATTTCAGTTTTAATTTAATTCTCCTTTTGGACTTTTTTCGCTTTTCTGCAGCTTCTGAGAGTCCCGGGGCTGCCGGAGGCCCCAGTGGGTCGTCTGCTGCTGCTGCAGTGGCAGCAAACGGGAGTGTGTGAAGTTTAATTGGTGGAAATTAAAAACTAATTCAAAAATTAAAATTCATTTTAATTTAATTTTTAAAAATAAATCCTTTTTATTCTTTTAAACGGCTGGCGAGGGCCTGGCTCCCTTTTGCTGCTGCACTGCACCCGCTGTGTGCATGCGGACGCGCACGGGGTCTAGGGTTTAGGGTTTAGGGTTTAGGGTTTAGGTTGGTTGGTGGGTGACACAAGAAAAGCCTTCATCTAGGGATTAGCGAGAAGTGTTAAGTGCCTCAGAAGTGGGACTTAGCGGCAAGGGTGTAGGGTTTAGGGTTTAGGGCTTAGGGTTTAGGGTTTAGGGTTTAGGGTTTGAGTAACATTTGTAGGCAGTGCTCATCTAACTGTGGCACTTTTTCGTTCTTTTTTCTTCTAAAAGTCCCCAAGAGGATAAATGAACTTCCATGAACACTTTATATAAATTTAAAATTATTTATTTATATTTGTTTTTTTATTTATAATTGTTTTTTATTTACAATTGCTTGTTTACTTATTTTCTTTTTATTTCTCTTATAAATGCTTGCTAACGCGTTCAGGTGTATGTACACACGCGCACATTGTGCAGGCCACGATTTCCAATATATAGAAACTTATATTTATATTTATATTTATATTTATGTTTATATTTATATTTATATTTATATTTATATTTATATTTATATTTAT